TCGACTAAGTCAGCTAAGTCAGCTTTTATAAATTCGACTTAGTCAGTCGATAGTTTAGATCCGACTAATAACACTACATTTTTCATAAAATTCATTGGTTGGTTAAACTTTAAAATTGTTAAGAGCGCTTCATTTAATCGAACCCACTTGGTATTGCCACCAGAGATGGCAAAGTTATTTACATATTATTACATGTTGTATTATTTCTAATTATTTCTTTTAATATTTTACGAAGTAAAATTCGATCTAACTAATAAATTATTGAGGTTAAAAATTTACACTCCAGAATATACAGTATTTGAAAATTGTAATCATTCGTCATAAGCAATAATTAGTAATAATACTTAAGTATATGTACTGGGTGAGAAATAAGCAGTTATTACTTACATATAACCTTGCCCAAATCTAATTGTCACCAAATCAGAAACTACATATATATAAACGCATTAACCACTGTTTAAAATTTGAATATTAAACACGAAAATTACAAAATTAGAAAATTTATGATATTTTGAAATTTGGTATATTCAAATATTATATTAATATATATTTACATGCAAATGAAAATTAGATTTTTTAAACATAAGGCAACCAGTTCAAAATTTTTAGCATTAATACAATTTACTAATTTAAAAATAAATAAAAGTCATTTATCGAATTAGTATATACTGTAGTTATGAATTTACTAAGCAATTATTTTATTAACTCGTATATTAGTTAGGCTTTAATATTCGAAATTTCTTCTGTATTTGCAAAAAAGAAAGACCATAAATTTGTTATTTAATGATAATAAATTCAAAAAATTTTGAAGCATAATACAATAAGAACTTTTTAGAAAAATGATAAGCACTTAAAACATGTTCATCTTTTTTACTGTTTGAAATAAGATTAATGATACTGTATAATCGTTCTACAAGGAAAACATGTACGTATTAATAAATAGCCTTTATTTAAAAAATTTTATTAAACATATTTATTATCAGTGCATGAATTTAAGTTCTGCACATATCTGATTTCGGTGACAACACTAGTTGAGTCAATTAAGATGATCTGTGGACACTTCATATTTTTGGGAGCTGAGTTCCTTGTGCTTTGTAGTGTTTGTAATGTAATGCGTGGTTTTTCTTAATTACGTATCCCGACTTATGGTGAAATGTTAGGTCAATAAAATTAGGCCAGGTGGGTCAAGAACAATACTTTTAACACTGTGAATATAATATGATTGAGTAAATCAGAATTTCAAAAATAAATAAGCACTAATCATGCTATATATATTTATATATATATATAATATTTTTCTAAACTGTATTTTAAGTATATTACGTAGCACGACTAATCCTGGTTAAATTTAGAAATGATATTCATACTTCATCTTTAACGATCAGTGATTATCTGTTGATCAAGAAAAAATAAACATGTAATTCTAGCTATAAAAAAAACCAATAAAAGGTTAAAAATAAAAAAAAAAAAAAAGAAGCTTTTTACTACCCTAATACGATCTGGATTTTGCAAGTAAACTCATAGCAATTGAAAAAGCAATAGAAATAGCAATCGACTTGCAATTGCACTTTGTTATTTTAGTGTCTAAGTTATAAAAAGACGGGATGAAATTTTCTTTCCTGAATTGCAAGAAAATTTTGACTGTAGATTCTGCACAAAGCATACAAGCCAAAGAAAGATTACCTGATTTAACCTTTATTCAGGAAAGATAATTTACCATCTAAATAATCATCATACCGCAAATACGTATATAGCAACAATTGACCGAGCAAAATTGAATGCAAGTCACTCTCTTATACGTAGTGAGATGATCGGGCTGTGAGATTTTCTTTGAAACTCGGAACTATGTTTTTCGCTTCTAGTTTAGCAACTTTTTTTTCTAAATAAATTTTAATTGATTGAAACCAGAAATCTTTGCTCGAACCTTTCATCATTCTGCTCGTTATTCACAAATATGATTAAATATGCATTAGTTTTATTGTTATTTATCAAAGTATCTTCAGCTTCAACTCTATGTACTAATATAACTCAAAGTGTATCACATGTTGCTTTCGGTAATTATTTATCCTTCTCGGCCGGTTTATTTCTTACTTGCTTTTCAAAACCTTCAGCCGATGATAAAAGCTTCTTTGCTAAAGTCAAAAGATTTTTTTCCGATGAAGATTCAGTGGGTATACAATTGATGGTATTACTCATTTTTATGACATTTATGACTACCAGATTCTTTTCAATCAATAACGAAGAATTACCTAAATTAATTCATAATTGTTCGATAGCTATGTATTTTTTTTGTGCCTTAATTATTTTTATTTTCATTTTTTTTCATTTACCGGTAATTTCATACAAATTTTTTGGGATTATACTTCCAGCTTTTGTGGATGATGTGATTGAAAGATTACCTTATATACTTGTTATTTCACTGATTTCAGTTTATATTATCCAATTAATTGTTCAGACATATTTCAAAGACCATGTTCCATCTACTGGATACATTCTTTGGTTTCAATGGATTAGCCTGCTTTCACCTTTATTAACTATACCAATACATATTATTCTTTCATATATTTCTTCGGAAGATGATGAACATGCAGCAACATATTCATTAATATATCCTGTATTATTTCAAATATATTTACATGTAGGATACATAAGTTTTTACCTATATTGTGATGAAGGTTATTTATCATCGGGTTTGTTATTTTTAAGTGGATTCGTTTTGAATAATGTTATCCGTATGGCGTATGAATGGGTATTTCCAAGCAGTGTTTGGAAAGTGGTTAAGGTTCCTAGGTTTGGAAAAAAAGAAAAAGAAAGTGATACTGTACCAATGATTTAATATGAAATTTGCATTTTTCCTTTTTTTTTTTTTTGTTAGTTATGACTAATAAAATATCGAATGGATCAATGTAGCAAAAACTTATAGAATTTAAAATTTTACATAATGTCAAAGCTTCCCAAATGCTTTTCGTACAGACTAAACTTTTGATAATACATATTTATTGAATAAAATAAGGAGATTGTGTATGTATTTATGCAGAAATTGAGTTTGCATTATGTATAACTTACAAACAAGAGAGCTTTAAACATTCTTTTTTTAAACCCAAATAAAAAAAAATAAATAATAAAAGGAGGGCAGAAATTTAATTAATCTGTACCAAAAGTGAAACAATTCTTTAACACAGGACGTAAATACGTGCCAAATATTAGAAATTATGCCTGTATTACTAATTAGAATTTTAGTTAAGAGTAAATATCATGAATTTTGAGCTCTGATTTACTTATAAATACGATGTTTTGAATTTTCTAATTGTTAGTAGGTTCAAAGTTTTAACCGTACAAAATTTGGGTGCTCAATATACTATATAAATCAAAACAACTTATGTTCATACAATTAACCAATTTTCTACATAGGTAATAATGATTTCGAAAAATTTATAAAGATAATATATATATTATTGTAAAATTTAATTTTTTAGAAGAGGAGGGGGGGTAAAAAAAGTTAAAATTATATATGAAAACCTGATTAAATATATAATAAAAAGGGGAGAAGGAGGTATATCTCTGATAAAAAAAATTAGATGATAAATAACATTACTCAAACATTATTTATTAATAGAATTTTGACTTATTGTATATTTTTTTTTTTATAATTTTACTAGTAAAATTATAAAAAATACTATAATTTTTAAATTTTACTCTATATAAATTAATTTAATATATAAATATATATATATATAATTCAAACTCAAATAGTTTGTCAAATTTTAAAAACAAATTTAAATTAAATCAAACTTGACTAAAAAGTTTAAACTTAAACTCAAATCAAATTTAGTTTTAAAAAAAGTTTAAATTTAAGTTTGATTTAAAAATCAAATTAAACTCAAACTTGGCAAAAGTTTAATTTGATTTGATTTGATAGAAACTCTACTTAGATATTCTCTATATTTCGCTTATACAAAGTTTACAGAACTTAAAGCATATATATGCGCTTTTATAAATATATATATATAAGGATTTTATAATTTATTGCACGGTGCAATACATTGCACCCCTATAATAATTAGAGTTAGAGTGCACCCCTATAATAATTAAGGTTAGTGTTAGTGTTAGTGTTAGGGTTAGTGTTAGTGTTTGGTTAGGGTTGGGGTTAGGTAAAATCGCAAGAGGATCATTTTTCATTAGCTACACAACAGGGGTTACTCTAGTAAAATTTTGAGATATAGTGGGGTGCAATCATCGGGAAAATTTTTTTAGTGCAGGCCTGCAATTTTCTGCGAAAATGCAGATTTTTACAGGATTTTTAAATTCGATCTGCGAAAATAAGTAAAATTGCAGATTTCTACAGATCTGTAAAATTCAGCAAAAATGCAGATTTTTACAGAACTGTAAAATTCAGCAAAAATGCAGATTTTTGCAAAACTGTAAAATTCGGCAAAAATACAGATTTTCGCAGATTTTACAAAAAAATTTGCCAATGATAATTTCGGCCGAATTTGATAAGTTTATTGATTTCGGTATAATAAATATATTAATAAAGGCTATTTTTGTATCATAATGATCATTTTACGATGTCATAACAATGTCAACGATTTTAAATTTTCGTTCAAATGCTTGTACAAAACATGTTGGTGTGCTTAGTTGTACAAAAATTTATGGAAAAAACTGTTCATGTTGATCAATAACCTTAACAAGAAGGAATCAAATATAAACAGACTTTTAGCTCAAATAGGTGCTGCTATTTTGGTTTAAAAATGAATCTCGGGTTAGGATTCCAAGCAACCAATATACAGTATTATTAATATCTGTCAAGAATGCACAAAGAATTATGATAAACAAAATCAAAATAAAAAAATTTTATGTTTATATTTATTTGCCTTCAACAAGAAATGAAAATGG